AATGTGATATGCCAATTTCTATTTACCCTTCATAAGGACCCTTTTCATCGAATCCGATCCGACTAAAGTGGGAGAGACAGAAACCCGCTAGCCACCTTATGCAACTAGTGCATGTTAGTCGGTGGAACCAGTCTCACGTAAGAGTACGTGTAAGGTCGGTCCGGGCCGCTTCATCCCACGATGTCGCCGAATCAAGATAAGACTAGTAACGGCAAGTAAATTGACAATATCAACACCCACAACTACTTTCTGTTCTACTCGTGCATAGAAACTACGCATAGACCTAGCTCATGATGCCACTGTTGGGGATCGTAGCAGAAATTCAAAATTTTCTACGCATCACCAAGATCAATCTATGGAGTAATCTAGCAACGAGGGGAAGGAGAGTGCATCTACATACCCTTGTAGATTGCTAAGCGGAAGCGTTCAAGTGAACGGGGTTGATGGAGTCGTACTCGTCGTGATCCAAATCACCGATGATCCTAGCACCGAACGGACGGCACCTCCGCGTTCAACACACGTACGGTTGGGAGACGTCTCCTCCTTCTTGATCCAGCAAGGTGAGAGGAGAAGTTGAGGGAAAACTCCGACAGCACGACGGCGTGGTGGTGATGGAGCTCGTGGTTCTCCGGCAGGGCTTCGCCAAGCACTACGGAGGAGGACGAGGTGTTGGAGGAGGAAGAGGGCTGTGCCAGGGGAAGGGTGCGGCTGCCCTCTATCTCCCTCACTATATATAGGGGGAAGGGAGGAGGGGGAGGCGCCCTAGGGTTCCCTAGGGGAGGGGCGGCGGCCACAGGGGAAACCCTAGATGGGTTTGGGCGCCCCACCCCCTAGGAAACTTGCCCCCCAAGCCGGGAGGGGCGGCTGCCCTAGGGGTGGCGCCCCCACCTCTCCTGGTTACGTGAGATGGGGTGGGAGGGGCGCTCAGCCCCTCAGTGGGCTGATGTTCCCTCTCCCCTTGGCCCATAAGGCCCCCCAACACTTGCCGGGGCCTCCGAAACCCCTTTCGGACACGCTGGTCATCACCTGGTACCCCCGGAACAATTCCGGACTCCAACACCCTTCGTCCAATATACCGATCTTCACCTCCGGACCATTCCGGAGCTCCTCGTCATGTCCGGGATCTCATCCGGGACTCCGAACAACCTTCGGTAACCACATACTATTTCCCATAACAACTCTAGCGTCACCGAACCTTAAGTTTGTAGACCCTACGGGTTCGGGAACCATGCAGACATGACCGAGACAACTCTCCAGCCAATAACCAACAGCGGGATCTGGATACCCATGTTGGCTCCCACATGTTCCACGATGATCTCATCGGATGAACCACGATGTCGAGGATTCAATCAATCCCGTATACAATTCCCTTTGTCCAGCGGTATTGTACTTGCCCGAGATTCGATCGTCGGTATCCCGATACCTTGTTCAATCTCGTTACCGGCAAGTCTCTTTACTCGTTCCGTAACACATCATCCCGTGATCAACTCCTTGGTCACATTGTGTACATTATGATGATGTCCTACCGAGTGGGCCCAGAGATACCTCTCCGTTACACGGAGTGACAAATCCCAGTCTCGATTCGTGCCAACCCAACAGACACTTTCGGAGATACCTGTAGTGTACCTTTATAGCCACCTAGTTACGTTGTGACGTTTGGCACACCCAAAGCACTCCTACGGTATCCGAAAGTTGCACAATCTCATGGTCTAAGGAAATGATACTTGACATTAGAAAAGCTTTAGCATACGAACTACACGATCTTGTGCTAGGCTTAGGATTGGGTCTTGTCCATCACATCATTCTCCTAATGGTATGATCCCGTTATCAACGACATCCAATGTCCATGGTCAGGAAACCGTAACCATCTATTGATCAACGAGCTAGTCAACTAGAGGCTTACTAGGGACATGGTGTTGTCTATTTATCCACACATGTATCTGAGTTTCCTATCAATACAATTTTAGCATGGATAATAAACGATTATCATGAACAATGAAATATGATATAATAATAACTAATTTATTATTGCCTCTAGGGCATATTTCCAACAGACAGCCCACCGCGCCGCAGCCCTTGACACATCCAGGGAGCCACCACCCTCATCGGAAGCACCAGCGGCCATGCCACACGACACCGCCCCGGAGCCGCCGCCAACAGCCATGACCACCTCTACACTGCTCGCACGGCCGGAGCTGGCACAACACACACCGCCCCGGAGGCCAGGGACCGCTCCCCACGACCACCGCAGCACCTCCACCTACGCGGCGCCGCCGCGCCGCCATCCAGGAGCTGCAGCACGCCGCCACCACCGCAGCTCAACCAGCCGGACGTGCAGCCACCGGAGCCACACGCCTGGGCAGCCCCATCGACGGATCCAGCCTCCTGGCGCCAGATCCGCGGCGGCCGGCCCAGCACCGCCCCACACGACTCACAGGGAGAGGAGAGGAGAGAACGGCGCCGCCACCATGCCCGGGGCCACCGCCCCGGCTTGCCTGCGCCGGCGAGACGCCGCCGCCGCCAGTCGCCTCGCGTCGTCCAGGGCCGCCGCTACGCGTCCCGCGAGGAGAAGTCCCCGCCGCCGCCGAACGCCGAGCGGGCTTTGCCCGTCGGATTCACCTGGCGGCGGCGAGGGGAGCTGGGGTGGAGGTGGGGAAAGCTGGTACAAAAATTCAGGGAATTGGTAACAACTCATGCCTCTGTTTACGGCAAAGCTACAGTTTGTGTAGGTTACCTTTCTTGTAGTTTGATGAAGCATGCTGATTTTAGTGCAATCTAGTTATGACTCCTTTTTCAAAATAAAAAATCATCTTTGTGCAATTATACAAACCACGCAAGGAACAAAAGAAAATATGTTTTGAGCACATGCACAAACGAAATTGTAGGATACTGTATTTCTGAGCAACACAGATTAAAAGGGGTGAGGATCCAGCGGGTCAGACAAATATATCGTACCGAATTCGGATGGAATCCGTCATACCGCCATGACATTGCTCATCATAAAATCTTTGACAGACAGGGTCATCATATCTTAGCTGTCTCAGAACAACAACTAAGCAGGGTCCTTAATCCCATCTTTTGTTACTCCATCCGTAACAAAATGTGACGTTTTTTCATGCCTATGCAAAACCAAAAAATGTCTTAGATTTTGTTACGGAGGAATACTTGTTTTATTGTTTAACTCATCTCTATTAAATGACAAAACATTCAGATCCATGTTTCGGAATTGAAGCTTTATTATAGTTTCTTTCATCCCTTTGTCCACCTTATTTATAATGCAAGCAAGCAAGATATGTACACATACATGAGCAATCACCACTCCTGATCATGTTCGTAGCATCTAGCTAACATATCAAAATGATGGGGAGCTACCACTTTTAGATAGCGAAACCAAAGACCATTTAATATTCACTTTAGTGTTGAATTGAACGCATCGCTCCAGTGTTTACGTATTTTAGTGTGTTTGTTTACTCATTTCAATCCGTATGTAGTCCATATTGAAATATCCAAAACATCTCATATTTGTGAAAAAAGGGAGTAGCATATAGTACAGTCAAATGACTTCAGTGCTTGCTGCTTCCTCTATGGTCCAGCAAAATTCAAAAGATGCAGGTGGTTCTGCAATTGTTGAGGTAGATAGCATAGCTTATCACCAAACATTGGATTAACCCCCCATGTTCATCTGCATATACTTTGGTTAGCAGGACAGGAGCTCTAGCAAACACTGATGTGGATTGCTAGGGTATGTTCAATTCAAGACTACTACAGTTAACAAAGTTTCGCTAGGGTATGTTCCAACTGCCGTGCAACTCATTATGGATGGATCCCTCATTTACCTCCTGCTTAGTACTACCACTATAGTTTCATTTCGTCATAATAGCAATTTTGTAAATGGAAGTTTTTTTTCCGGATGCTACAGATATGTTTTGGCTATTCTATCACGATCTGGTATCTGTTATATACAGTAAAATGCATTTCCAAAGGAACCGTTTGCTTGATTTGATGCTCAGTGATATCAATAGCTACAGATATCACACCCTTTTATTAAATTGTTGTACTCATTGAAATTTTATTCTATTTTTGTGCAGATGATGACGACGCTTAGCTATTCAAAATTCTTTGCCAGTAACTAGGCAGTTTGCTTTGGTCAAGAGAGAGAACATGGTCTGGACTATCCATCTTTTGCTTCTGAATGAAACTGAATCTGCTTTCTAGTCAGTGGTACTATAAAAAACTGAAGTTTCACAAAATGTGTGATCCTTTTGTACTTGATTCTGACTGGTTATATTCTCTTATTCATGTTTGTTCAGTTCAAATGATGACACAGTGAAACATAACTCTTATCTTGCTGCATGGTGTATGATGGGTGGTATTAATAGGTGCATGCTGGGAGGGGTTAACCAAGCAAAAATTCAGGGAGGGATTGAGGAGAATTTAGTGGTGTAATCCCTACAGGGAATGGGTGAGGAAGTGGCGACCACCCGACAAACCAAACAAAGCCTAACGTGGTGAGGAATTGCTGCTGTGATCACATCACATTATAATTGGCTGTGCCTTTGGTGACACAAATGGAGATGCACATCTGTTAGGAAAGTAAGGGCGCAATCTAAGATTGTAGCATCATGTTTTTTCACATTCAATTGCACTCATTCTACCACGCATGGCAAGGCAAAAAAAAGAAGAGCAGATTTGCAAATATAAGCACCTTCACTTTACTGAGAAAACTTGATTGAGCGGCCTGAACAAGGCACAAAAATCAATTCACGAGCTTATCTTTACTACCAAAATTGCGACTTTATGCCATTCCTCTCACTTCAGCACTGATCTATTTGTCACTGACTGATCAATTCAACTACCTTTCAATGCATTTCCTCGAAAAACCAAAGACTATCATATTGGGATAGAGGAAAAGCTGATACCTCCCTCCTAGAATGAAGTCCAGGAAGGGCAAGTATACTCACAGGTTGTTCTCCTGAACAATATTCCATGCAAACATGGACTTATTCTTCCATCTTGTCAGTAGAGCCCAGCAGATAGCCAACGTCCGGGGTAATAACCGCGCGCTTACTGACCTCTCCCAGGGTGCAGCAATGATTTTCTCTGGTGTTAACCGCCACAGCCTCCTGGACAAACATGCAATTTGAACCGGGAGATACCTGGGAAGTTTGTAATTGTTAGTGTTGCACGGAAAACATATACACAAACACAAAATGCAGCAGTTTACAGTTTTCATACTCACATCAAACAGTGCATCTCCTATCTTCATCTTCACTTTACCGCTTTTATAAACGAGTATCTTCCCCATGAGACCTCCTGGCAGATCTTTGATCTTAGAGCCAGGGAGTGTCTGCCCACGTGCCACTTTAGAGCTTGTGGCAGGTTCAACATTCTCCTCAGAGCCAGTATTTGGTTCTTCAACAGATTCCATTTGCTTTGGTAAAGGAAGAGACGCAGGTAACTGGAAGAAGAGTAACTGTGGTGTGTCGGACCAATCCTGTCAGCACAACAGTCAATATAAAAAGCAGCTATAGTCGTCTGTTTGTGGTTGCTGAATTGTATTGTGCTGTGCTTATTTTAAAAGGTTCAAGCAGTTAGACACCAGGTTGCATACTAATAATATGTAAATTCAAAATTCTGATTTTGCTCTAAAGCATAGGACAAGAAATGACATGCTGTAACAATTTGATAATAAATTACCATTAATCCAAGTTCTTCTGCTGCAGTTAATTCGCCATCCTGAGCTCTGCTGGCCGATTTCTCTCCAAACTCCTCTTCATCAAGAATCTCTACATGACGTACGTAGGAGAGAAATAATGGAGGGTTAAAGAAAAATAATCTTACAACATAAGACCAGAAGGACCAATAGAATACCAGGATCTCCAGAGTAGGGCCTCCTAAGTGGGAGAGTTATAGGATAGTCGCTATGGGTATAATCCTGTAAAAAGATGGAAATTAATCAAATTAATAATGCATGCACAGGAAGACATTCATATTGATTCGCACTTGGTAACTCCACTCACCCATGGATCCACATATTCTTTTGGTGCTTTTGGCGCTGTAACATCATACAGAGCATGCATGAAAAGAAAGGGTGTTAAAGCTCCAAAAATAGCAATATGTACAGTTAAAATAGTGTTGCATGATCTGTGTTCCATTCTGAAAGTGAAACAAAATTGCAATGCCCGACTAACAACTACAAGAGTGCAAGGTCTTCAGCAAATACACTAATATGTACAGCAAATAAGTGTTCCATGTTCTCTGTTTTGTTCAAAAGGAGAAACAAAATTGCAAAGCCAGCCAACAAACTACCAAAAAGCACAAGTTATTTTCTTTTTCCAATTTTCACGAACAGATATTACCATTTAGTGGAACGTTTAACTAAACATAGAACGATCTAGATAAATATGTCGCAATAATACCTGCCGAATACTTCCGCGTAGGAAAAGATCTTGCGTACGAAGAGTTCCCTTGCCCAAATGCAACCTGTGTATTGATTTCTGTTGTGCCAGCAGATTGATATATCATTAGTAATACATCCAAATTTACAGAGAAAATGCCAGCAATATTAGAAACAGTGGCTGAATTCATCAACAAGACCAAACTAGTTTGATGGTTGTAATAATCTAACATATTCACAGAAGAAAGAGCTAAGCTAAGAGAGTTTCTTTAACATCTACTCTATAATAAGATACACTTTACTACGTGCAGTAATTTTACACTATGCAAGAGAACAAGATTCTAATTTGGTGCAACCTCTGCATATTGCATTCCTGAAGATGAGCACATGAAGCCTTGTAAGTTACAGTTTCCTCACAAGTTATTCGCAATATGTTTTCACCCTCAGAGGCCAACAAAACTACAGTACCAAACACTTGTGCTTGGCCAGCTCTGAAACATTCCACAGTTTCCTTTCCAGGACCGGTGTATTGGTAGAACAACATTGTGTATATTAGGGATGAAACACACATAAACTAGTAACTAGAAATTGTTCAAAGAAGTCCATGACTTAAAAGGGAAGTTGATTGGTCAATTTTGTCTAGTGATGAGGAAGATGCGACTTCCTCAATTAACAGCCCCCAAGATTCTTACAGACATATAGTCAAGTATGAAGATTTAGAACTTAAGAGGTGCTTTTTTCGCAACAATAGTTGACTGATGAGCCAATGCAAATGAGAGAAAATAGGCGCTGAGCATGCTCAAAGAGTAGGATCATGGAACACAATATCAATTAACCACATTTACCTTTTTTCTCAACCTTAGGTCTTCTTCCAAAGGGATCAGTGCTCTACAGATGAAACAAAATATAAAACACACGAATCAGCCATCAAACAAAAAGCTTGCAGATACAACAAACGGCCAACAGACTAATATAGGCACCTGTGATGTCTTCAGTTTCATCAACAATTCCTTATCAATGATTTCATCCTTGCTCTCCTCAACAGGCTCCCTGTAGACAGTTTATAATCAACTAAATCCCATGATACCGTGCCTGCCCATCTAGAAAACCTTGAATAACTGGAATTGTGAAAGAAAATCTAGACAGAAGAAACATACGTTTTTGGGACAACCTTTGCAGGTTTCTTTGGAGGCTTTTTGGGTGCGAATTTAAGTCCCCCCTTAAAATGCAAGAAGCAAAAACCGTAACCATCAAATTGAAACAATGGAATATACATTAGGAACAACGAAAGTGAACACTAACCTTGCGAGGACGGGGCGCAAGGGAGCCATCTATTTCCTTCTTCACGTTACTCTTGTCGTCCATAAGATAGCAACAAATGCAAAAACCTGCAAAAGGTGGAACACCAAAGCTAAGATGGCTGATGGGCCTATCACTATTAGCCGGCGACGGTGACTCAGACAAGAGCGGAGCAGGGCGGCCGGCGGGTTTCGTAGACTGGCGGCGGCGGCGGCGGGCCGTTGAGAGGGGCGGGGGGGGAGGAGGTACCTGCTACCTGGTTCAGACGATCTGCCGCCGCCGCCAATGTCCTCGATCTGCCGCCGCCGCACACGAGAACCGCTCGAGTTTTCAGTCTTCCTCGCGAAAACGTCGACTATTTCTTTCGAGCTGAAGGCCCAACCATTGGGCCCACCAGGGTCCAGATCATATACGAGCCGAGAATCTTATCACCGGCCCAAAAGGAAGTCACGAATTTGTGAGCCGACCTAGAAGAGGAGGAAGAGGAAGAGAAGAGCGCAACGCAAAGAGGCAAAGAATGGCGATGGCGAGGAGGAGGGCCCTCGCGCTCGTGTCCCAGCTCCTCCAGAGGCGGGTTCTCCCCGCGCCGCGCTTCCTCTCGTCGGCGGCCGGCGGCGCTCTAGACCGCCTCAATTCGCCGCCCTTCGCACGCCCGGCCGCGCCCAGGAATCCCGCTTCCCCTTCCCCATGGGATCGGCTCGGAGGTTAGATTTCGCCGCTCCCCTTCTCCTTGTGTCGAATTTGGCTCTGCGAGGTTGGCATGCTAGGGAGGTCGGATTCACGGATTGGACGCGTGGAGATGTGAACTTTAGGGTCGGCTAGCGAATTAGTTTAGCACGTGGTAGGTCGGTTTCTTCATCTGAGCGACGACGCGTTCGTTTGTAGGTCAGTAATGTTCTCTGATTGCTTGCATTGCATTTTGAGCTGAAATGGGCTCCACTTAGGTGATCTTGTTCTTGCATTAGACGACCTGATTGTTCGTGAATATGTTGGTGTCAGTGCCTTAGCTCATGTGCTCATGTTTGTTTGCTTGCAAAATTGGTGTCATGGACAGGGCAGAAGAGGACCATGTTCATCCAGACGCAGTCGACCCCCAACCCGCAGTCGCTCATGTTCCATCCTGGAAAGCCGGTTATGGAAGTTGGGAGCTCTGATTTCCCTAATGCTCGGACTGCGATGACATCACCTTTGGCGAAGGCACTGTTTGCGATCGAAGGTACATCAAGCAGCCGCCCTAGTAATCTACTGCATTATTTTATATTTCAGCATTTCAATTTGCGTATTTACCAGTCCTCCTGTTAATCAGTTAGTTACCATCGTCACAACAAACGATCTGTTGCTATGTGTCTAGTCCTTACATGCCCCTGCAAAGTTTAAAAACCTACCCAGCCCCCCTTGTGTTACAAGCAGGCGCTCTGTGTCTGACATAGGTGTAGATAAGGTTTACTTGTAAAGGCATACGAGGTTGTGCCATGAAATTCAGTTGGAAGAACAGATCTTTTTAGTCTTCTGTGTTTGGTAAACAGTTTTTTTAATGAATCAATGTTAACTATTCATTCTGTTCAATTACTTTTTAGTTTTCCTTTTCATTTTGTCGTGTTGATCTTCTGTTGTTGAACTAAAAGCCTTTTAGCTGTTAAAGGGAACTATTATGAGATGTAATTGAAAAAAGTGGCTTACAAACTACAGAGAGCCATGCACTGAATTCTTACCAAATAAATTAGCAACTAAGTAAGCACTATGGTTTGTTGGACATCCAAGCAACCATTTGGGCACAAAAGAAGAGTAAGGGGACTTGAATACAATAAATTGGTGAAACATAAATTGAGGGAGACCTATTTAACGTGGGCAAAGGGCATGATAACTTAATGCAGGCATTGAGGTGGGTTAAATTTGAAGAATAGTATGCAAAAATGCACACGGTTGATTTGTTCATAGGGCAGAAGGAAGTCATTCCAAAAGCAAGAATCCTGATCTTATCTTGAAATCTGTTAGGCAAGACATATTTGGAGCTGATGGTTCTTTATTTTTCAAATGCATCACCATGATGAGGACGTGCAACTTTATCATTGTTTAATAAGGGATTTGACTTCTTACAAAATAGTACATCCATGCAAATGCTTCAGGCTTAGTTTGGCATTCTTTGTATATTCTTTGGAACCATAACGACAAAATAAATGCTAGGATCGGTAAATATGTAACAGCAAAGATGTCACAGCACAACATCTGAAATTGGCGCCAAAATTTCTCAGTGAAATATTCCATTTGGTCATGGTATTGACTGGATTCAATTTCTATGCAGGAGTTACAAGAGTATTCTTTGGATCTGATTTTGTAACTGTGACAAAATCTGATGAGACTTCATGGGACTATCTTAAGCCTGAGGTCTTTGCTGCGATAATGGATTTCTACTCATCTGGACAGCCACTTTTCCTGGACTCAAATACCGCAGCTGCTATGGACACAGCAATTCATGAGGTATTCATGGACATTCTTTCTATTTCATGGTTTGTTTCCATAGCTTTGTTCTTCTGCAGCATGGTCATTTCCTGTGCCATACAATATTTCTAAACTACAATTATAAGAAAAGATTACTGTTGGCAGAACCTTTATGCTTTTTAGTCATATCGCTTTTTATAGAAGTGTTCATCTAGGGTGTGAAGTATAAATGGTGTTGGTTTTATGCAAGATGTAAGCATACAGTAACAATATAAAACATAAGTCCATGGGAGAGACGGATATTAAGAGTTCATTAGGAAAGTACAGAATTATGGAAGAGTTTAGTTGTCTTAGGAAAGATCTAGCAAGTCCAATTAGGAGAGGTTGGTGACCTGAGCAACGCATCCATGCCATCTGGTTATCTTCAGCACGGCAGTTATCACGTTGTGAATCAAGGTTCACACCACCAGCACAATACTGCTGAATAATGCTAACGAACTTGTTCATACTGTTAATTCTTGTGTGTGACAGGAAGGTAGGTAGCAGTAGCACTGACACACTATTTTTTGTTCTCTGTGGGGATGCAAAATAACATTTGTTATCATGAATAATTGAAAACCTGTGCTTGAGATTCTAAATCTGCCATGCAACGTTTGTCTGTGTCGAAGGATGATTCAGAAATAGTTGCTATGATAAAAGAACTGTTGGAGACCCGTATTCGTCCGGCTGTTCAAGATGATGGTGGTGACATTGAATACCGAGGATTTGAGCCGTTAGTACCTCCCTCTCCTGATGTTCATGTATGATGCTGATTTTAAAGAATGTTGGCTACATTGTCTCACTGTGATACTATCCTTGCAGAGAAACAGGAATAGTGAAGCTAAAAATGCAAGGTGCCTGCAGTGGCTGCCCGAGTTCATCAGTCACGTTGAAATCTGGCATAGAGAACATGCTCATGCACTATGTGCCCGAGGTAATATTCAGTGCTTTGTTTCCCCTTTCTTGGAACAGCTCCCATTGTGTGTTTGTGTGTGTGTTCAGTGAAAAAGGCTGTCCATTATTTGATAGCTACAATGCTGATTATCTGGTACTATTCAAGAAATCTGTTAACATTGCTATTGCTTCTTATGCCCAGCTTGCTTAAAAGAGTAACTTATTCATCTTCGATCGATATGTCGCCGTTGGCAGGCTTCACAAACTTTCATGTTTCATTCTTTGGTAGGTGAAAGGAGTGGAGCAGGAGTTTGATGGTGATGAGGAAGCTGAACTGGCTGGCCAGATGGAATGAGTTTTTACAGTTAAATCGCAACCCTTGTCACATATGCTTGTTCAGGGAAACCATGCTATGCATGAAAAGTCCTGGAGAATTACCACTCCCAAAACCATAGGTTACCACTATATTTTGTGAGATAAACCAGGAATAGCCTGAAGGTTTTTGTGATGATTAGATGGTTGTAATTTTGATCAAATGTGTGCAAGAAGCAGACTACCGCACATGGTAGAGAGGCAGCAGTAGCCTGAACCAACATCAACTGCAGTAGGGCTGAATAAAGTGATAGTTGGATTGATCTTTCCTTTTGTCCAACTCTGTATATGCTGAGCATGTCTAACTAATACCAAAGGTTATCACTTTGGTATGGCAGGTGTAATTTCATGGTGGTTATTTCTGCTTTGTATGTACTGTATGTTTTGCATTTGCATATGCATGAATGGTTATGGCTGCAAATAAAATCTGGATTCATCAGCATCAATCAGCATAAGAAACGCAAACTTCTGTCTTGATTTGCACTGATTGAATTGAAAGGAATGAATCATTTTTATTGCTTTGATCTTTATTACACATGAAGGAGGGCAATGCTTGCTTTTGATCACCCATCCTTCTGAATTAACAATGGAAACAAAACACTTACATGGAAATAAACAGAAAATAGGGAACACATTGAATCAGGGGTAAAATTAAAACAAACTCTGGACTAATCACAGTTTGAGCCTACCATGACAGAACAACATACAGCCACTGACCAGCTTTTTCCCTCTCCGGAGCAAACATTTGCCCCAGAGCACCTTCCCTTTCGGTCCCGAATGCGACACACTGACACGATCCAAGATCTACGGCGCAGGTGGATCCAAATACAAAATCCAGCCCCCCATCACATCAACATCATCAGCCTGAAAGAGACATCATTTCCCTGCTGCTCCATCCTGATAATCCATCTAAGAAATCTGTATGACTGGTTTGGAATCACTTGGTGGTCTGTTTAGGCTGCCTTGTATATCATGTATGTATGTACATGGCGCACCAATTGTGGGGGGTCGTCAGCCATGTAGTAGTGGGGGTGTAGATGAGGAGGACAAGGCCATGAGCAAGAATGCAGCCTCCTCCACCCCCATTGAGACCGTCCTTTTCTTCTTCACCACTTGGAGGTTACTGCTTTTGTTGTTGCTACTGCTGCTGCTGTCTTTTACTGCACTTGTTGCCTCTCCGTGATCTTCTCGTTGTTGTTGCTGCTGCTGCTGCTGCTGTTGTTGGTGTTGTTGTTGTTGGTTTAACTGCTGGTTCTGTGGCTTGTTGTCGAGACCTAGCTCTTGCCTCCTCTTCTTCCTGTATCGGATACCGCACGCGTTGCAAAGCGTCTAGGATGGAAGTGAAAAAGTTCAATACACAATTTTAAAAAAAGATGTTCAATACACATTCAGCTCTATTTTTGTTACCAGACTAGGACCACTAACTCCATTGTTACTTTTCAGATCAGAGAAACATATCAGTTTTGCCAACTAAAAAGGAGAGATTACTGGTTGATGGGTGCACGGCTCGGTGCCAGAATGAAGTGAAAAACTATCATGGTGATAAGGATATCCCTTAAAGAATTGGCCCAACCAATAGAAAACAACCAGAGAAAAGCTGGCCCCTTTTTAAATATCCCATCTCACACATGCCACTTGGGAATATTAGGGGGGATTGGAGGTTAGCACTGTTGCGAGGAACAGCTCACCTAACCTCCAAATGGAATCAAAACTGAGTACACACACTGATTCTCTTTTTTTTTTCCTCCCTTTGCCGTGGGACTTTATCCAAAGCTCCAAGCTGCCCTGATTAGAACAATCATCACCATATCTTTTTTTAGATAAAAATCGCCGCCATATCTTATGATCTTCCTCTCCCACGCAAATACCCGGATTAAAATCGCCACCCTATCTTATACTCTGCCAAAACCAGAGGCTCTAATGATTCTAGCATGATCGCTCTAGGAACAGCCTGAACGATATAATCAAGAATTGATCGCAGTATGAACCGCAAGAACTGTGGTGATCAGGCCATGGTTGACACCACCGATCACCTCCCCCACAGGCCACAAGCACAAACAAGAAAGAAAGGAAAAAGAGGGGAGAAGTGGGGAACTCACCCTCGGCCCCGTCGGCCCGCTGCGCCACATGGGGGTGGTGGTGGTGCGGCATTCGACGCAGCACATCCTCCCTCCTTCCCCCGCCGCCGGAGCGACCCCGATCACCTGAGGGAGACGAGGCAGAGGCCAGGAACACATCAGCAGCCACAGAGCATAAGAAGATCTTTCTTTTTTTCAATTAGAAGACGGCCGGGCAGAGAGATGAACCTTGTGGTGAGACGAATCCATCGGTGGCGCTGGACGGGTGGTCTGCTCGGCGGTGATCTTGGTCGGAGATGAGGGTGTCGTGCTGGGTTTGCTCTGCTCTCTTGAAGAAGCGTATGTGGGAGGAGAGGGAGTAGTTGGGGCGGGGAGGGGAGAGGAGAAGAGATAGCAACCAAGGCTAAGCTGCAAGCTTTGTTTTTGATCTCTGGCTAGGCTGCAAGTTGGTAGGGTACTTGTACAAGTTCCCTCCTTATCTTCTAGCCCCTGTATTAATATGTTCTTAGTCTCCTTATCCATTGCTAGCAACAAGGGCGAAAACGGAGCGAAAAGTACCCCCGTTTCCGGTAAATATGAAGCGGACGCTCTCATTGCGGATTACGCTAGAGCAAAAATGGATCCTCCACATATTTTGCCGAGCATGAAAACATGTGGTTTTATGACGAATAAGTTCAATACATGCCCATGTCTCCTCTTACCAACTAAAGTTGCTATAATTACTTTCATATTGATATTTGTTGCTAACATTGTAGCAACAGAATGGAAAGGTCCATCAGATTCAGAGTGGAGAACACACATTGGGATTAACCCATATTTTATAGTAGCTATGTTGCTATAATTACTTTGATATTGAAATTTGTTGATACCATCGTAGCAACAACATAGTTGAAAGTTCCAACAAATTCTGAGGCAGAAAAGTCCATCAAATTTCTGGTAAAGATCGTAAACATACAATCCTAGCACGGAATTTTTGTTACATAATATTGGAGCAAAAATGAATGCTCAACCCGTTTTGTAGGAGTGACGAAACATGTGGTTTGATTATATGTATAAGGTCATACGTGTAGTGGCTCGGCCGTTATCTACTTTGATCCACCACTTTTTGTCCCTCCTTATTTGCTGATGTTGGTGTTAATGCGCGTTAATGCGTTTCCATCTCTTTATTTTGTTATTGTTCATATTAAGGCGAAAATAAACTTGTAGTTGCCTATTTTTCAAAAAAAAAATCTAGATCACCCTTGTTTGTCCCTCCTTATCTGCTGACATTGGTGTTAATGTGTTCCACCTTTTTATTGTTATTATTGCTAGTACGACAAAAATCGATCTCATATTTCCATGTTTTTCAAATAAAAATCATTATCTAGTTTCCGCACCGCTTTTTGTCCCTCCTTATCTGCCGACGTTGGTGATAATATGGTTCAGTCTCTTTTCTTTCTTTTTGTTGCTACTAACGCGAAAATCGTACTCATGGTTCCTTGATTCTAAACCCTTCGATTTAACTGCTATGTTATGTTAGATAGTATTTAAGCCTACCCTTGCATGACCTGATCTTGTAATCTTAAATCCATGTTCCTTACAATCCTAGCATGATTAGGAGTTGCTTGATCTATACCTAGTTCTCTCCCCCTACTTATTTTGCTATACTTAGTCACGCTTAATAGAGTTTGTGTCTTGATCCATTGAATGAGTTTGAGGAATCACATTTTGGTAGTTCAACATATACCTGGCCATGGGCCGGGCCTAAAAAAGCCCACGGCAAAAAACTGAGACCTAGGCCCTCCCAGGCCCTACCATTGGTCCTACTTTTCAAGCCCAAGCCCGGCTCATCTGGTAAAAAGCCCTGAAAAGCCCTTAGGGCTTAGGGCCGTGGGCTGGGCCTCTTCGTTAAAATGCCAATATGCCAAGCCCAAGCCCGTCCAGGCCCTATTGGTGGGCTCAAAACTCACGCCCAAGCTCAGCCCACGGGCAAGCCCATCGGGCCTAGGCCCTGGATTTTAGGGCCGGGTCTGGGTGGGCCGACAGGGCCGGGCCGGAGATGGCCAGGACTAGTTGAACATGAATAGTGGGATGAGGTAAATATTACTGGAGGTAATCGGAGCTAAACGTGATTAGAGGCCAAAGTGAGAGGCCATGTTGGAGAACGTGATGGGTTCTCTCATTTACAGCGATTAAGGACCGAGTTCTCGTTTCATTGATTCAAGACCGAGCGTACAACCACACAAGGTCATATGGGTAACCTCTTGACTTGTTAAGTTACCTCAGACCAGTCTACCAATGACAATAGTCCGGGATTTTCATTCGTCATGTGACTTGAAAGGAGATGTGGAGAATGATACCTCAATATAAGGGTGGCCCGACTTACTAATTGGGGCTTGGGTGCATTGTGCAACACTTGAGTATATATCGGAGCACTCAGGTAAACTCACGATTATGGATAGAGCTCGTATGGATGACATCGGGTCGTGTGTAAGGTAAGAGTCATGGTTGATCACCCTCTGCCAACATACAATGTGAAGCGTGCTGCTAGTTGGCACTAAGAGACGATTGGTGCGTGTGGGCAAAGAAGTACACCCATGCGATTTAAATCTACTCCAATAGTTATGTGCATAGTTAGGCTAGTCATAGTGGGAGTAACTTAGGTAGTAACATAGCGCATTTCAAGAAAATTTTGCTTATGTGGCATGTTGTTAATAAGTAGAGAGATGCTTAGAGTAACATAATATGTTACTGTAACATAGCACTTTCCGAGAAAGGATGAGTCTACAAACTAATAAATGAATCCATCTATGACAATACTACTATGTTACTTTGCACTATGAAAGTAGTAATTTAGACTAGTGTCATATGCATGACACTAGTATAAGTTACTCCTCACTATGACCAGCCTTATGTGACCGCTTTGTTATGTTAGCATGGACTAGATAACTATAATTGTTACTTTAAAACATGCTAAGATAAGTGTGAGTATTATGGATTTGTTCCTCGGGGTTTGTAACAAGGGAGGATTAATGGTGGTGTA